TGACACACACACGGTTGATTAATTAACTAAGCCTGGCTACAACGTAAGCAATCCCAACTATCACTAAACAAACTAAAACTATAATGCACTTCAGTAACATAATTATTTCGTGATTGTACGCAACTAAAATAGACAAATCATTCTTCTGTTGAATATCAATAAGCTTCTCCTCTGGCGGCTCACTCGCCTCATCGCCAGCAATTTATTTCTGCACGTATGTAGCATAATCTTCCTCCCAAGTACCAACCATCGCATCCATTGCCCTCCCACCGAAATTAAAGCCAAAAAATATGTAGTCAAAAATATTCAAGAAAAGCAGGTCAATTAGCCATAATAATCAAATGCGTAAGAAACTCACATCGCGATTCGGGCACTTGTAGAAAACACGACCCTTGTTGGGTCCCTGTCTCTTGACTCGGTACTCCATCACAATCTTCCGCTACACTTGCCGCAGATAATGAGAGGGAGTTACGCCTCGATCGTTCAAGAACCGAACGAGAGGCCGAGGATCCCATACCGTTGCCATCTACTTTCTATACTTATTTTTGCAAACTACATAAATTTCACATTTTCTAAAATAATATATTTAAACAAAACTAAAATTATTTATTTATCTAACTAAACCATGAAATATGTACTATGTAGAATAGTAAAATACCAAACTATCAAGTGATTTTACTATTGTAAATCATCATGTGATTTTGAGCTAAAAATGACATAGAAATCACATAGCTCAAAAACATGTTTCAATAAATAACCATCCGTATTAGTTGACCTTGCTTACGTGATCATCTCGTGAGCATTTCTCCACCGGACGGCACCGGACTTGGCCAAGGAAGAGCTCCAATTCTACGAGGAAGGGAACACGGTCTTCCACGACCGTTGCCGCTCTTCCTTGTAGAATCAAAGCTCCTCCTTGATGTCCGTTACCGCTCGGTAGAGAAAATGCTCACGAGATGATCACGGTCCGTAAGTTCAACTAGTATGGATTTTCTACAATTTTCTAACTATTTTCTAAGTTTTTCATTTCATGGAAAAATTAATTCTAAGATCACGTAAGTCACGGGGGACGAGGATGGCGCATGCTCCAAATGAGGACGAAAGCGAGGCGTGATTTTGATGAACTAATTTAACTTTTGTTTATCCAAACATATATGCAAATCATCATGTGATTTTGAGCTAAAATGACATATAAAATCATAATAAAGTCCAACATATAAAGTTACACATGCATCTACATCGCAAAATGAGATAAGCTACTTGATAAAACATAAGAGGATTAAGTTTGTTACCTCCAAAATCAAAGAGCAACACCAATGGAGGGGGAGAGAGAACAAGAACAACAAAAGAATTTGAAGAACAGAGGCGGTGAGTTTGAAGGGAATGGCTTGGGCTCGGGGAGGAAGAAATGAGCCAAAACCTGTATAGGCGAATAATTAGTCCCTTTAGTTAGATGGCCAAACCGGGACTAAAGATTAATATTTATTCCCGAGTATCACTCAAACCGGGACTAAAACCTTTAGTCCCGGTTGGTAATCCCTTTTCTAGGCTTGAAGAGTAATACCGGTTTGACTAAAGATCCCCCAATTTGCCACACTGACGACCGTTGCAAGGCAGGACCTTTAGTCCCGGTTGAGTTCCTACGAACCGGGGCCATGACTAAAGGGTCCTTTCTAGTCCCGGCAAAAAAAACCGAGGCTAATGCCAAATTGGGACATCGTTCTAAAGTCCGTTCTCTAGTAGTGTGTGGAGTACTCCGTTCGGGGTCAAATGGTTTACCGTGGCGGGCATCCTATAAGGCCCGTCACGTAAAATGTCGGAGCCCAATCTTGAGCCAAATCAGCCGATCTCACTGGGCTTCATATAAAAGGGAGTACAAGGCCTGTTAGGGTTTCACCCACTGTCTGAGGCAGCCCGACTCAAGTCGGTTCTTGAAGGACTCTCATCATGGGTGGGCAGCTCTGCCTCCCTTACTTACTCCTCTCCCTCCCATCTCACCGCACCCCTCTCCTTCCACTCCCATCTCCCCCTCCTCCTCACTCTCTCTTCCTCCCTCACTCCTCTTGGTAGGGTGGTGGAGCTACACTGCCGTGGTGGCCTCTCTAGGCTTCTAGTTGCAAGGTTGCATTCGGCTATACTCACCATCGGCCGGGCGCAGGCCACTGCATGGCATGGCTTTACAAGCACATAGTGCGTGCCAGCAAGATTTTGTTTCATCTCGGCGTGGCCGGGCGTGGGGGGCCCTTTTTATCAAGGCCGGGGCGAGGCGAGAGCGGGCGCAACATGGCGGCTTTTCCTTGCTCGTCGCGGGTTATTTTATCGCACCACCCAGCGGTGGGGGGCTAGTCCGGATCCAGCCCCTCCACCTTCTTCCCTACCACCAAGCATGGATCGGTCGCATACTGAATTCCCCTTTTGCGGACTAGGATCCTATGGCGGTGGATCCATTTGCGGGGATGATCGAAAGTAGTCTACAGAATAGAACTGCGTAATCGACTAGGACTGGCGGCGGCGGATCCAATCACATACAATCCACGGGTCGATTACTCGATCCAAATCATTCGGATCAAGCGGCGACCTAGGTACCCCCGCGCATCAAACAACGAACTGGCGCATCAAACTCGGTGGCCTTGCGACTTTGACTCAAGGTTCACAAAGTGTCCATGCACGGCGTGTTGTGTTCGACGGCGTTAGTCGGGTCGACGGCCAGAACCACCCACTACTACACAAACGATTAAAACGTAACATGCATTGCGCGCAACGCGGCGGTAGATGCCTCATTTAAAGCGCGGCGGATCTCATCCAAAGGCTCGACGGCGGATCGAATTATCGTCGGCCCCTTAAGATGGATCGACGACATTTACCGTGGCGCGGTAAATCCATCCATGGCCTCACGGCGATCCAGCCACCCTCGTCATCCATGGTGCGGTCCGCCTCCTCTTCGCCCACGGCCGCGATCCGGTCGACCTCGCTCCTCCGTGATCCGGCGAGGTCGTCCTCCTCTCGGCTGGTCATGATCCAGCGAGGATGACCTCTCTGGCGGCGGATACGGCAAGGAGGAGACCCCGGCGGTGGATCCAGCGAGGTGCGGTGGCGCTGGTATTGGGCTGGGAACAGGCTCGTCGGTGGGCTCGAGAATGGGCTCGCCGACGGGCTCCTAGGTTTTTTTTAAACTATTAACCACGGCGGGCATCCTAAAGAGCCCGCCGCGGGAAATCGGTTAACCGCGGCGGCAAAGCCGCCCACCGCGGTTAAGCCACGATTTACCGTGGCCTCTAGGCCGTGGAGGATGGCTTTGCCCGCCGCGGGAAACCAAAAACGCACGCCTCCAGTAAAGTTTGTGTAGTAGTGACCGCCAATGAGCCCAATGGGCACCACGTCGTCTAGACTACACGGGACCTTGATTTTGGGTCCTCAACACCCACAAACTCATGGCCCGCCCAGTGGTATGATCCATCCCCACCCTCTTCCTCATATGCGTGTTCCACCTCCTGCTCTGTTGTATCCGCCTGCACCGAATCCAACACCTCACCCTATTCCGCCACCACCAGCACCAAATCTAGTATCTCATCCTATTAAGCATCCTGCCCCACCATATCCTGTTGCTCCCAATTCCACTTTCCGTTTACCCAAATTTGATTTCCCCAAATATGATGACGAGAACCCATGCCTTTGGCGCACATGTTGTGAAAACTACTTCTCCATGTACTCTATTGAGCCATCCGTGTGGGTGCACATAGCCACTATACAGATGGTTGATGCTGCTGCACTTTGGTTACAATAAGTTGAATCCTAGATAAACTCTGTGACATGGGAGCAGTTATATATCATGATTCGCGACCGCTTTGATCGCGATCAACATGAGCTCTTAGTGCGTCAATTGCTGCATATTCGTCAATCCTCCACCACAGTCTCTGATTATGTAGCATGATTCACTTCTCTCACAAACCAGCTTATTGCCTACAATTCTAGTGTCGATCCTGTTTATTTCATCACTCGTTTCATTGATGGCCTACATCCCGAGTTGTGTTCAATTCTGCTTGTTCAACGCTCGAAAACCTTGGATGCTGCTTGTACTATGGCCCTATTGCAGCAAGAGGCCGGTGGACATCGTGAGGTGGTACGAACAACTTCATCTCTATTCAGCAAGTTCCAAGGATGGCCATGCCCATTCCTCAACCGCCCAAGTTCGAGAAGAATGTTCATACTCAGACACCAGTCCATCTTCTCTTGAAAACAAGTTGGTTGCTGTCAAGGCTTATCGCAAGGCCATGGGGCTATGCTACAAATGTGGTGTCAAATGGTCCAAGGATCCCAAATGCTCACCAAAGGTACTTCATGCTATTCGTTCGGCTGTCGAAGAACGTTTCAGGAGGAGTCCTGCCAAACAGGCATTTAAAGTCTGACTAAATTTTACAGTAGTTGGTTAAAGTTTAGTCTAAACCATACAAATGGATGGACTTGAAAGTAGACTTATTTTTAGTCCAGTCAAATTAGTTTTCAGTCCCTCTCAATAATTTATGTATCTAAAGAATATACATGACTAAACTTTAATTGCCTAAACTTAAGCCATCCAAAATTTTATCTAAAAATTTTAGTTGTACTAACCACTACTCCCTCTGTCCCATAATAAATGGACTTCTAGAGTTCAAAATTTATACCAAAATAAGTGCACCTTTAGATATGGATCCACTAACTCTAATTGTCTTTTTTCTACCTTTTCTCTTCTCAAAGTACAATGATTACATCTTTATAGGGGTATATGTAATTTCTCATTAATATTGATCTCTTCACTCAAAACCTAAAAGTGCACTTATTTTTTTTAATAGAAGTGTACTTATTTTGGGATAGAGGGAGTAGTTGACAAGATAAACATGTCCTTAATCCCTGGCCCCACATTCAAAAAAAAAAAAAGAGAGAAAAAACATCAACACCGGCACGGGCCCAGCCCAAAGCGTGCTCGCTCCAGCCCAGTACTCCAGTCCCGCGCAGCTGCTCTGATGACCGCGGCGACGGCCACCCCCATGCCGCCGGCGCCCACGCGATGGCGGCGCGGGGGCCGCTCGCCACCGCGTCTCCTTCAGCGAGTCCTCCTCGTGGCCGCCTTCTCCGCTGCGGCCCTCATGCTCCTCATACTACTCCAGCACAGCCACGGCCCTAACCCCTCAAACCCCTCCGCCGCGTCCCGCGCCCGCGACTCCTCGGGCGAGCTCCTCGACGACTCGCCTCCCGCGGAGCGGGATCTGGAGGCTGGTGACTCGGCGGTCGTAGCTGACGGTTCCGCGTGCGCGACGGTGGAGAGGATGGGGGAGGAGGCCGCGGGCGCTGGGCGGGGCTCTCCGGAGCAGGCCAGCCTGCGGGTCCGCGAGATGATCCGGCGCCACTTCGAGCTCCACGGTGCGTTCCGATCACGAAGAGGACGCCAGCTCGATTTCGATCTCTCTTTTTATCCCCCTGGAAATGCTGCGTGTTCGACCCATTGAATTCTGAGAGATGGTTTGTTAGTCATGCGTCGTGTATGTGAATTAGAATATGATGCCTAAATCGTTTGATTGGATGCCATACGCTGTCAATACAGTAGTTACTTCTGTGATATATTCAGGAATTGAATTGGGTACTAGCCTGAAAAGTGAGGAAGCGGGACAGGTTGGCAATGTCCAAACATTAGTAGACTGCCCCTTCTATGAACTTTGCAACAACTAATGTATTGTCTAGTTGTTTACTATTATTTTTTACTTTGCTGTCTGGGATGCATTTCTCAAGAGTTTATGCTGCTGGGGGTGGCAGAAATCGACAGTGGTCGAAGTAATGTTCTCAACCACTTGCTGCCATCAATCGCCCCACTACATGTGGTCGTTTCTAGGATTCACATTAAGATTGTGTATTACAGAACCTTGAACCAAACTGAATTTTGGTACATATCCACTAGCATTCTTCTACATTATGCACTAGTATATCCATTTATAACTGCAGTGTCTAGATAGGTTGTTTATTACTCCTTGGGCTTCCTGTCACAATATAGTGTCGCTGTGAACATCAACAACTAATAAACAGAACAATCTGTGTATGATCATGTAGACAAAATTGAAAGATGGTCGCCTATCTTCTACTACTGTTTATTGAAGTGCTTGAGGCATTGGTTTACTTGATTCAACAAAATTTCCATTCACATGATACAAACTTGTTCAGGAGAGAGACACATAAATTAAAAGCTATCAAGTTTGTGGTCCATCACATGCATACGAAATGTAAATTAACATGTGCATCACATAGTTCAGTCATTCAACTGTGATGTATCCAATAGCTTTGCATGCAGAATTGCACTTTGTAGTTATGCACAGGAGCCCAACGTTTACAGCTTCAATTAATTTGCCAGGAGCAGAAAGAGTGAGAACGCTTCCTGCCCATGAATTCTGCAAACAAGGCTTTGTGTTGGGGAAAGCGTCTGAAGCTGGATTTGGCAATGAAATGTACAAGATCTTAACAGCGGGAGCCTTGAGTGTCATGTTAAACCGATCTTTGATCATCGGGCAAACAAGGCATATGCATTTACACTCAGCTACTTTTCATCTTTATCTTTGATTTGACTGCTGAAGGGCGGGCCTGGTGCAAGCGGTAGAGTTTTACCGCCTGTGACCGGAAGGTCCCGGGTTCAAGTCGCGGTCTCCTCGCATTGCACAGGCGAGGGTAAGGCTTGCCATTGACACCCTTCCCCAGACCCCTCACAGAGCGGGAGCTCTCTGCACTGGGTACGCCCTTTGATTTGACTACTATGCGATTCATTGGAAGCACAGAGTTCTATGAAATTACTTGTTTTCCTGTTATCGTTGCTAAGCATTTTTCAAATTTTGTGTTTCTTATATAGTGTTAATTTTTACAGGATGTTTAATTGTGAATTGTTGCGTATTATCATGGCTGTGAACCCATGATACATAGATTCTGTAGTTTAGTAGCAGTGGTGATTAATATTTGTTATCCACTTATGAATTTTTGTTCCTCTCTATCAAACAGGGGACTGTATCCTTTTGGGGAGTACATTTCTTATACCAACCAGTCATTCACTATTCATGAAATCAAACATTTGTGGAGGAAGCATCGCTGTGCTAGGACATACAGTAGAGATCTGAATATTAGAGTGGACATTTTTGAAAATCCAGCTGAGACGAATGTTCTGTGTAGTGACTGGAATAACTGGAAAGATCCAATTACCTGGTTAGTACTACAGATACAGCCTACAATAATTTTTACGTTTTACAATATTTCTCGTGGCATGACCTGCATATGTTATTGATAGGAAGAAGTGCACAAAATAGTAACAGTGATAAGTTTCCTAATTTACTCCAGAGGCACACTAGATGATGAAGATATCTGTCACATCTTGCACTTACACAAGGCTTAGGATTTAGAGAACAAGTCCTGTAATGTTAAATTTTTATTTCTTAAGCCTTAAGTGACCAATAACCAGTCATTTCCTTTAGTGTGCATTTCTTATGTAACTGATCATTTGCCGTAGTGCATTTATTCTTTCTTGTTTGTTCAGTTTTTTACACACTAGAGCAGTTCGTTTGCTTTCTTTTCTTGAGTAATTAGTTAAAAAAAGCTACGTGTAAAAAACATGCTGAATGGTGCTACTTATTCACAATTCTAGGTTTGATGGTGCAACAGATGCAGTTGGGATTCAGTTTTTTTCTGAAGAATGTTCATCCTAGAATGAAGGCTGCTGCGTTGGCTCTTTTTGGATTGCCAGAGTCATTGTATGCCAGGCCTAATACATTTGGTGAACTTATGCGAGCTATCATATCTCCATCCAGCAAAGTTCAAGAAGCAGTTGACTGGGCTTTGAAGGGTGCGAATCCAGATATTGTTTTGCACACGCGCATGATGGCGAATAGGTATGGCACACAATTTGTGGATGCTTGTGTAAATTGAAGTAACTGAAAGGAATAGAGATTGTGTGGAATATTGGATTGGATTGATTGGAGAGACCTAAGTACATATATATAGGGGAGAGGAGATCTCGTGGCTTATATAAAGGGAACCAACCGAGATCTCCTCATATCTCTCTAACCGAATACTGGGGCCGGCCGGCTATACTAGGCTCGGGCCTACCATATACACACGCACAACACATATACATTCTAACACACCCCCGCAGTCGCAACGTCGATGAGTCGGACGTTGAGACTGGACCGAAACTCCGTGAAGACAGAAGTTTGCAGCCCTTTGGTGAAGATGTCAGCGAACTGAGACGTCGTCGGGACGTGAAGGACGCGGACAGCTCCAAGTGCCACTCGTTCTCGAACGAAGTGAAGATCAATCTCAATGTGCTTGGTATGCTGATGCTGAACGGGGTTGGAAGACATGTACACGGTGCTGATGTTGTCACAATAGACCAGGGTCGCTTGGAGCAAAGGTGTGTGCAACTCAGCCAGCAGCTGGCGCAACCAGGAAGCCTCGGCGACAGCATTGGCGACAGCACGATACTCAGCTTCGGCACTGAAGCGGGAGACAGTGTTCTGGCGCTTGGAGGACCAGGAGACCAAGTTGTCGCCGAGGAACACAGCATAGCCTGATGTAGACTTACGAGTGTCGGGACAACCGGCCCAATCGGCGTCTGAGTAGACCACAAGCTCAGACTGGCTAGAAGCATGCAGATGAAGACCCAAGTCCAAGGAGCCAGAGGTCTCGAGTTCGAATCCTGGTTAGCGCAATTAAATGAAATAATTGCTGCTCGCTCCTATTCCACGTCTGAGGCCTGATGGAGCCTCCACGTGAGGGGGAGTGTTGTAATATAAGTGAATTGCTCATCTCTCCCCATCAGCTTAAGTTTTTGGGTTGAACTGGTCGGTCCATGCAACTTAATAGGTGGTGGTCTGCCGGTTGCTGGGCAGCCACCGCCGGCTGCTGGACAGCCACCACTGGCTGCTGGGCCTGGTAGGTCCAGGGGGGCGGCAGCGGCAGCGGCCAAAGGGGCGCCGCCCCCTGGAACGTGGAGAACAGCCGATCAATCCAATCCAATATTCCACACAATCTCTATTCCTTTCAGGCGAGGGCGTCGGTGATGGTGCCGGTGATCCAAGTCCGCACAGCGCATATACATTCTAACATTAACTATATAGATTGTCCCATCAGTTCAAAAAGGAAAAGTGCAGTATAGTAGAATATGGATATCATGCAATTTCACCTGCTTACTTATCTTGTTCATCAGTAGTCACTGAAAATGCTTCTTTGTAGCCGAAATTGTTAATGTGACCTAAGATAGCTTTGCATATTTCTTTTATTTCTGTAATATAATCTTCAAACTTAAGTTTGAATCGGTAATAGTCAATTTCAATATTTACTCAATATCTTTCAGTTTCAGAATGTCCACAACATGTATCATGCAGATAATCTGTTAGCAACACTTAGTGTTGTACAACATATCTGGCGATCTAAAGAGCTAATCAGGCGATAGTTGGCTACACGCCTATGTTTTAGAACACTGTCTCTTCTACATCATATGTTTTGAAAAGTTGAAGATTAGCTCCTATTATTACTCTAGGCCAGTCCGAGCAAGAAAAGCTGCAGTTCTTTGTATTAAGAGAGCCCTACAGATTAGCTATATCAAGGGTACACCTCTGGTGGCATTGGTCTCAGACACACCAGCATTTGTGAAGGAGATAAAGTCAGACATCAGTGAGTTTGCAGAGGTTAGCTGCTAGATTGAATTGAATACTACAGGGTGAACTTAGCACCATATTTCAAGCACCATAGAGATTGATTATGTTTTTCTGGAAATATTAGAAAGTTGGATGTTCATTCTGCAATAGTTTTCAGGTACTTTATTTTGATTACAAGTTGTTTGCCAAGACTTCTGGTCTGGAGATAGTTGGAAATGATAAGGTATTATTCACTCTCATCATCTCATAGCCCCATAACTGTTACTGTTTCCTCTACAGCTTTCTTAATTCTGAACTTTATTGCAATCTTTAGGAGTAACATTTTATGCTAGATTTGTGTCAAGGGCGTTGCAGTTTATATCAGGAAATGAAAAAAAAAAACAAATATGCATATTTCCTAAAGTTGCTATGTTAGTAATGCACAACTCTATTTTGCTAGTGTGGAGCTGGCTCTCCAATTTTGGCAATTTTTTCAATTAAGTTGCTTCCAGATTTCTTGTCATCTTGTGCATATTTTATCCTGTGCTGCTTTCTTGAGGATCTTCTTTCTTTGTTTTGTTCTCATGTCTATATTTCGTGTTTTCTATTTTGAAGCATTCTTCATACACATGTGGAATTATTACAATCCATATGTGTATATACAGTTCTTACAACATCCTAGCAATTCTAGGACAAAATTATGAGGTAAAACAAATGACACATGTAGCCCTGTTTTAACTATAGAGAGATCTTGTGCTTACCATATTTTGAGCATGGTGGTAGACATTAATGGCAGGTACGTATGTGATTGGTGCTTTGGGTGAGTTAATTCACCTAGAATACCTTATAATTTGGACAAATTTTGAATGCTTCAATGCCTTATATTTTAGGACGGAGGGAGTAGCTCATGCATAGAACCACAAGTACACAACATAACATTTGTTATCTTTTTAAGTGATTTACCTGCTTTAGAAAACATATAATGCAGTATTCCTTTGCCAATGGTAGGATTGGCATATGTGCATTACCTGCAAGAGGTGCCTGAGGCAACCTTAAACTGTGGATGTCGTGGTAAATGTTCTACTTACAGTTCAAAACTATCCTGATCATATAGATAACAGTATGGCACTATTCATTAATATAAGATTTTGTTTTAGTCTAAGAACACAAGTTGTCACTACGTTTGTTTGATCAACAACGGGCAACTTATGGCATTTGTGGTATTTCTGTGGATACTTTTGCATCTATCTGGTTTCACATCTTGTTCCCTGAACTCAAGACCCTTTTTTTTGTGCAAGCCTTTGGATTTTCGTTCAAGAGACTGGGGATCAGCTCCAAGGTGGGTGGCGTTTGTTGATTTCTTTGTAGCTGCACAGGCCAGATACACAGTTGTCACTGGAGCACATCGTTGTGTGGGCACCACCTACGCACAGCTCATTGCAGCATTGGCTGCGGCAAACAGACATGGTACATATGGCTTGTCTTTAAACATGTCGTCGCATTTTGCATTTAGTCCAGTCTTGAACCCTCAACCTAAATCAGCCTACCCTTTTCTTGTATAATAAGGTCGAGAGCCTTCAGGCACCAACTTCACCTTCCTAAGCAGCGTCCACAGTAACTTGCTGGTCGAGGGGCTCTCAACGCAGGTTTGTTGGGGCCATATCTGGAACAGATACGCTGGTCCTCTAAACTGTCGGCACCAGCCGCACCAATGCGCCTTGACCCCGCTCCTCCCTCCTGCTTGATGGGATGGTCAGTGTCAAAGCCCCATTCCCAGAGACTGGAGTATGGCGTCCGGTTGTCAAACACTGGGGAGGTGGACGAGAGGCGCCTCGTGTCGTACTGCAGGTCAAGGAAAGATCATGTAAAGAGGTACCATGTCCTTCCACCATACAAGAACCCGGCACGATCATAGGCTGAGGAGGTCGGCTAGGAACGCCGCCTAACATCATGCTCTTCGAGAGCTCAGTTTTGCATTAACCACTTACGACGGGTGTAGGTTTGAGTGGCCAGGCTTTTAAATTGGCCATGCTGGTAATTTTTTTGTCATGCCCCAAATGGTGCCAGTTTTGGTAATCTGCTGCGAAGGTGTTCAGGTGGTAGCATGTCTTCATTGTACATCACTGTTGTTGATCCGTGATAAGATCGGAAAGCAGATAGCAAATCTAGAGATGGGGTGATGTATAAAGGCATAGCATTGCATTGTCCAATGAGTTATGAGCTGGTGGTCTAATCTGTCATTAAACTCTGGATAGCAGAGCACCCACCCAGAATGTAGAGTGATGACTAGAATGAAAACGGATCGGATACGAACGGATATCACTGACATTATATTTGTTTTCACATTTCTAGTCGGATTCGAATACGGATGGGATTAGCCATGCCGGATAGGATACGATTAGATGTCGACATCATAAATATGCGATTTGAGTATTTGGATACGGATACGGTATCGGATGTTGAATATCCGGACTCGGATACGGACAGATCTGAACACCTCTAAACGGATTCGAACTCGAATACGGTCGGAAAATATCCGTATCGTTTTCAAGGATGAAAACGGAACGGAAATATCCCGAACCGAACCACATCGTTTTCTATATTTAATCCGATCGAATCCGCATTTTCTTGTCCGACTTTACCATTTTCGCTTTCGCATTTGAGATGTTTTGTATTTTAAATGTAAAAGTAGAAAACGGTTTACACATTTTTCGACCGTTTTCTACTTTTCTACTTTTAATTTGAAATATTCCGAATTCAAAATTCGGTTTAAACCGAATTTGGCCAACTGCACAGGTCATACATCCCAATTATAGGCTGCTCATCACGCAGCTGCGTTCTTTCTATTGGTGGCTAGCTGCCCTCTCTTATAGACGGCGTCCAGCCTCATCTCTCTTATTATGTATTTGGTTGTGCACTTGTTTAATACTATACATTTGAACTAGATCATGCACTTGTTAGTTGTGAACTTGTTATGTATTTGGTCGTGCACTTGTTTAATGCTATGTACTGTGGGTCGGTATTTCGTATTGAATTTTCGCATACCGACCATGTTCGATATAATTCCGCTCGAATTGGTTCGTTTCTGAAATTCTAGATATTCCGTAAGTTCGTGTTCGTTTTCGTGTCCGGCTTGTCCGCTTTCGCTTTCGCTTTCGTATTTCAAATGTAAAAATAGAAAATGGTTGAGGAGTTTTTCGACCGAGTTCGACCGTTTTCATCCTTAGGTGGTAGCATGTCTTCATTGTACATCACTGTTGTTGATCCGTGATAAGATCGGAAAGCAGATAGCAAATCTAGAGATGGGGTGATGTATAAAGGCATAGCATTGCATTGTCCAATGAGTTATGAGCTGGTGGTCTAATCTGTCATTAAACTCTGGATAGCAGAGCACCCACCCAGAATGTAGAGTGATGACTAGGATGAAAACGGATCGGATACGAACGGATATCACTGACATTATATTTGTTTTCACATTTCTAGTCGGATTCGAATACGGATGGGATTAGCCATGCCGGATAGGATACGATTAGATGTCGACATCATAAATATGCGATTTGAGTATTTGGATACGGATACGGTATCGGATGTTGAATATCCGGACTCGGATACGGACATATCTGAACACCTCTAAACGGATTCGGACTCAAATACGGTCGAAAAATATCCGTATCGTTTTCGTCCCTAGTGATGACTGATGAGGGATCCGTCTACTGATGCGATTTTGATGTTTTTAGTTATCCTGTCATTGCAATGCTATTCAATACAAATGAAGACGTGACGTCACGGTTCGGTCTTGTTTGTTTCACCTTAGGAATTGTGTTCAGCTGTCTTTTACTACTAGCTTGGGGTTGTTTTCCAAGCTGAAACAAAAACGTTATTGAAAGATGTGTGGGTGCACGATGCCAGTTCGGTGCCGAGCCATGCCGCGCAAAGTGGATATGTGGTGGACCTGTGGCGACAGAGTGAATTTGAACGTAACTCATGACCAGCGACGGCCGCCCTGCACCTGGGTAAGCGCGCCGTATCTCTATATTTAAAATAAAATTAAAAAAAAATGGTGACCACTAGCTAATTATCTAATGGTCGAGCAGGCAATAGAAGGCCTCCTTTTTTATCCTTCATATTCCAGATTATTTGTTCTTTTTGCTCAAAATTTTTTCCCTGATCTGTGACTTTCGGCTTCGCAACAGTGCGCTAAGCCGTAGGCATGGACATTGGTACAAACGGTGCCTTCTTTGTTACAAACTGGTATCAAAATTTACGCGAGGTGACTCTCCAATCCAAGTAACTAAAATAAAATCCATCGCAGTTCGTAGCGCTCATTCCTCTGGGGCAACAACTCGATACGTTTCCTCGGCTTCCCGCAGGAGAGATTCCTTGGCAACAGAGCACCGCAACCCTGCTGCTTCTTCCTTGTCGTCGCCGAAGGGCAAGAGTCACTGCTACTACCTGTTACGTGGAGTATTTAACTCTCAGCAGCGACCGGTGAGCGAGGCTCACATGGACGAGGGCGAGGCTCATCGTTCTGCTCCGGCCGCCGCGCGCCGCGTAGATACGTTTCAAGGCAAGGTATACTCCTGCATAGCACTCGCACATGGCGGCCGCCGCTGCTCAAGCTCGGTCATTCCTCATCCTGCTCGTCGTCACGGCGTCGCTACTGCCACGGCTCGCCGGGGCCTCCGCGCAAGCAGCAGCTGCCGGCCGTGGTGTTACGCTACGCGTCGACCCGCGCCAGGTAACGACCGTACGAGCTAGCAGGCGAGCTTACCGCTGACGTGGCATTATTGCTGGCGCGATGATTGATTGGTTTGGTTGCCCATTGATTCGTTTCCAGGTGGTCGTGGACAATGGCGCGGTGCAGGTGGCGCTGTCGGCGCCGGAGGGCCGGATCACCGGTGTCAGCTACAGCGGCGAGCCCAACCTGCTGGAGTACGACGCCGGAGGGTAACTGACGAGTGCATCCACCTTACAGTTGTGCTCTGGGCTTCTGGCTCTTCTTTTATCTGCCTGCCCCCTCCTTTCTGCCATTCAGAAATTTGCCCCTTCCCTTGCAGGTATTGGGATTCGGTATGGAACTATCCCGGCTCTGGTCTCGCAGGACAGTACAACACGTGAGTGATTGCTAGATTCTGTATTCTTGCTGCCAACCTCATAAGCATTACTCGCAACTTGATCCTGAAATTAATAGAATTATGTCATCAAATGGGACCATAGGAGAATTAAGGCAAATGACAGAGCTTAGAGTACTAAGTGTCAAGCTGTCAGCTCTGCTTTGAGTCAAAAAGCCACTCCACATGTATCCTGTGATTTGCAGCAACGATTGCGTTTACTGGTTACACTCATACAGGTTGGATAGTACAGAGTTCAACGTAGTGTCCTCGAGTGAAGATCAAGTGGAGCTTTCTTTCAGGAGTACGTATAACCCATCACATCAAAATAGCATTCGGCTAAACATCGACAAGAGGTGCCAAATTCTTCATGTTGTTCCGTTTTTGTAACTTCTTGTTTTAGATACTGTTTCCTCATCTGAAATAGTACAAACTATCTCGATCCGGAGTTTGCTAAGACCACTGGTTCAGGCTTGTGATGCTGAGAGGTAGCTCTGGGTTCTACTGCTATGCCATCTTTGAGCATGACAGGGCCTACCCTGCTCTCAACATCACGGAGGCTCGGCTCGTCCTCAAGCTTAACACGGCAAAGTGAGTATCATCATCATCATCATCATCATCACTCTTTTAAGTTTTTGAACACAATTGATCATCGCTCTGCTGCTTTGCATCGTCGATTCTCTGAAAGCTGAGCTGTTGCCTACGTGAACTCTGTGCTACTAGGTTCAATTACATGGCTATTACAGACGACATACAGAGGTACATGCCCAGCGCGGTGGACAGAGAAGAACCTCGTGCTGTTCCGCTGGCTTACAAGGAGGCTGTTCTGCTGGTTGACCCCAAGGAACCCCAATTCCGAGGAGAGGTAATATATAAACAGTAATAATTTAACTAATGATAACATACTCGAAAACCAAAATTACCTCCAAATTTTGGTGGAAGTGTGACAAGCGTAACCATTCATGATTCATGTGCAGGTGGATGACAAGTACCAGTACTCGCTGGATAACAAGGACAACGTTGTTCACGGATGGATTAGCGACAGCGATCCAAACCCAATTGGTTTCTGGGTCATCACGCCCAGCAACGAGTTCAAGAGCGGCGGCCCTCTCAAGCGGGAGCTCACCTCCCACGTCGGCCCCACATCCCTCACCGTAAGCCACCACCAAAGCACCATCAAAATCAAAGGAGTCTCCATCAGTAGACCGAAAAGCTCGTAGGATCTTACTATGGTTTCTTTCCATCAGATGTTTATGGGGACGCATTATGTCGGTAAGTACATGGTGCCCAACATCGACGACGGCGAGGAGTGGAAGAAGGTCCTCGGCCCGGTGTTCATCTACCTCAACTCAGGTCCCAGCAGAGCCGACCTGTGGGAGGACGCCAAGGCGCAGGCGGAGGCGGAGGCGACGAACTGGCCCTACGGCTTCCTGGCGTCACCGGACTTCCCCAAGTCAGCCGAGAGAGGATCCGTTACCGGGAGGCTGTTGGTCAGGGACAAGCACCTGAGCAAGAAGCACGACATGCCCGCTGGGACGGCGGCCTTCGTCGGCCTGGCCTCGCCCGGGCAGCCGGGCTCCTGGGCGACGGAGAGCAAGGGCTACCAGTTCTGGACGAGGGCCGCGTCCGACGGCACGTTCAGCATCGCCAACGTCAGGGTAGGAGTGTACGATCTGTACGCGTTTGTTCCGGGGGTTCTTGGAGACTACCGCCGCTACGACGGCTCGCCGCTGACCGTAGCGCCAGGTCGTGCCGTCGCCGTCGGTGACCTTGTGTTCGAGCCTCCGAGGTCCGGCCCGACGCT